CCCCAAAACCCCAAAACCCCAAAACCCCTTTGGCCCATTCTAATTGACAATTTGCTTTATTATGAAATCAATATTAAAATGATAACTAGACTTAAATTTTTAAACCGAATTTAACATGACTATAATTTTCACTTGATAGACATGTAGAATTTTTTCTACATAGATGGGTTTATTTTCTTAAGCTCATTAATGTTCCAGATCTTAACTTTTTTCATAAAATTTTGTTTATATTTGTCAAATTCATCCAGTTTTTCCTCTGAAGCTTCTGGATCATTTTTAGCTTTTTATTTTTTATTATGTTTTGACTGAGATTTATTTATTTTTTGACGATCTGGATAGTTAACCTTAGCATCATCGATGCCATATATTTTACTATCTACTAATTTCTCGAGCCATTTCTGCTTTGATATAGACTTGTTAAATCCATCAAATATCATTTTGTTCTTTTTAATCTATTTATTCAAATGCTATGTCTTTTGAATAATCTCATCCTTAATAAACTAGTGTTCTTAAAACACTTTTTCTGATTGTTTGGTAAGGGATATTGTATCTTTTTCTGATTATTTGTAGTATTTATCCTAAAATATATTATAATCAGTGTTTGTTCTTGGTCTTTGCGCATTATATGCAGTAAAAGATCTATTTCCCGCAATGCTTTAATTTGATATTCTTCTTTAGATATTCATTAATGGCATTGGTAAAAGCTCATCTTAATTAAAGAAGTTTAGCTTTATTTCATTTGAAGGTAATGGTGTTTAATCCTCTGAAAATTCAATAATCTTGATTGGTGGAGAATATTAGATGTCTTTCTTACTCTTATCATCGGCAGTTAAGTTCTATTTACGGGAAGTTGCTTATGTTTTAATTTTATTCCTATAATCCTCTTTTTTCCTTTATTTCAATTCAAGTTTGAATTGCTTCAAGCTCAATTCTTTATCCTACTGATATCTATAAAAAGGGAGCAGTTCATTATCCTTGAGATGATATTTGGTAGTATAAACTTTAATAAAGCTGTTTGGCGACACTTTGGTGAAAAATATTGCCTTATCAACAGCGTTTGATTGTTCATCTCTACATTTCTCCATTTATTCTCTTTCAATAAGATCCTTGCTTTTAAATTGATAATCATTCATTGTTCTTTGATTCTCCTCCAAGAATTTAATCTTCTCTGCAAATGCTTTATCAAATGACACGAAATCATCTATATAGTATTGCTAGACTCCCACAAACTTTTTGTTAATTTCTTTCATCCTTTGCAAATGAAACTTCTTTAGTTAGAGATGATTAGATTAAGATACCTATTGAATTATATTGGAATAACTAGACTTTAAAAGGTCTTTTTCCTCCTTAGTAAATGATGAATTCTTGAAACTTGTACTTGTCTTGTTTGGTGAAAAGGATTTGTAAGTTACATCCTAAGTTGTTTAAGTCTAGTAACCTCCATAGACTCTTCTAGGAGATTTATCATTATTAATGGTTGTCATTGGCCTTTATAAAATAACATTCCTTGATCTATTTCCAGGAGATGATGTCATGTTTCGTGCAGCTTGAACATTTTTAATAATTTTATTGTTTTAGATTAGATTCGATACCTAAGAGAAACTGCTGTCTGAATGTTCTTCTTTTAGCTTGGTTTCTCCAAATCTTTTCTTTAATCTGAATTTCATTAACTAATCGTATATTTTGATCATCATTACTTGCTCTTTCTTTTTCTCACTTATTTCCTTTTCAGTTTTCTTGAAAGTTTTACCCTCTGGGCTTAGCTGCAAAGTCCTCTCTTTGTGAAGCATCTGCTAGAAATCATTTTCTTTCATTCCCTTTAACCTTTCATATTCCTACTCAGTAAGCTAAGCCATTTTGAAAAGGTCATTTGCCTCCAGGTTAATGTCAGGCTCAATTTTTTCCTTTTTATTAAAGAAAGGATGAAGTTTCTATATTCGCTTGTTATATTGAAGATTATTGGAGATACATTATGCCTTTTCTCTATCTGACTCATGAGTGTTATTGTTCATTTGATACATTTTAAGAAATTCGTTATTTTTCAATTCAGGTCTTACAATAATCTAGGCTTTAGGAAGGTCACAATCTGATTCAGTATCTTAGTCAACACTTTATCTTCTAATATTTCCATATTAAGATATTTGAGATGTATTTTGATGTCTAAGAGTTGATCATCTTCCATTTAATTAAGATGTGCTATTCTTTGACTATCTTTTAACACTCATTGTCGATTCTAGTCTTTTAGTTCCATTGGATTGCTTACTGCCCCTCTTCTATAAAAAGACTCTACCAACTCCTTTCTGAGAATCTCCCTCAAACTACCTCTTTTTCAATGCGAAAACCACATCTTCTTTTTCTAGTATATCATTTTCTTGAGTAATATCAATTGTAAGATCAAACTTTTCTTCAATTTCATTTCCATCCTTGTCGTTTTATCTCAGTTCTTGCTCAAAGCTATCATCACTAGACTTCATGTCCATCAAATCAGCATCATTTAAATTCTAAGTTGTATCATCTTTATTAATTATTCTAGTCAATCTTCGATCTAGAAACTTTTGAAGCTTCTCTGGATCATTGAAACATCGTGTCATGCTTTATTAGAGCAGAGTCTTTTTTATCATTTTATAATAAAATTAATTAAAATTATAGAAATTACTCAGCCAAGGAGTTACCAAGATTTCATGGATTAATCTCAGTAATAGTAAAGCTATCAAACTTAGTACTCAGAGATATTTGATGAGAAGACTAATCATTATGAAACATCTGAGAATGGTAAGTAAAGCTAAGAAACCAAAATGAAGGAGCTAGATTTAGTGAGTGAATCAACATTTGAAAGCGAGATAAGTGCTAAAATGTAGTGAAGCAATAAATCTTCTAAGATTCTTGATGAGATCAAAGCTATATAAAAATAATTAGAAAATATTGAGTTGATTAGCTTGAAGTAGAAACATGAGATCTAGGAAGTACTTTAATCCTATTAGAATGTAGATTCATTCAGAGGTTAGCTAATTTATGAATGCCCATTACATTTGACTGAAAAATGCTGTTATTTTGAAGGATAGATCAAAGATGGTCAACCTTAAGATTTTGGATAAATAAACTTTCATTAAGAGAGATTAAACGATGATAGCATATAAAGAATTTAGTATCGAGGTTAGTTTTTAAATGGATATAGGAATAATAAGGGAACATATAGTGGAAGTGGTTTTGAAATAACAAGTTAATGGAATATGGATTTAATGAATGGCCTAACTATCATAAAAACAAAGGGCTATATTGCTAAAGCAAATTATAAGAATGGCTAGATTAAAAATTTAGTATAAATTTTGTTTAAAAATAATAAAAAGAGCCTGATTGCATTTGTAACATAAAATGACATAGATATAATATAATGAAATAATAATAGTATTTTGCTTTATGGATAAACTTAATTTTTTTCAGCTATTAGATGAATTTCTTTATCTCGGGGTTTTGGGGTTTTGGGG